TTTCTGATCCAGCAAAACAGAGGGTGCATGAAAGTTAAAAAACTTGGCAAATCTGATGAATAGCTGCGTAAAAAAAAAAATCTACTATTCTAATATATATAGACGATCGTGACTGACTGACTGACGCTAATTCAAAAAGGGGAAACGTATGAAACGTTTAAGGCTGAAACTGGGTGGCATGGAGTTCCCTGAGTCTCCATTTCAGAAGAAAAAAAATGTTCGCTAAAACCCATCAGGGCTCTTTTTTTTTAAGTCCCATTTTCCTGAAATTTTTTTTTGATATAACGAAACAGAGGCAGAAAATGGTCACTTCCCTCAGAAGTACCTGTTTAATGGCTGAGTACAGGAAAGAATCCTACTTTTGAAATGTGTCTCCTTAGCGTAGATTATTAGAAGGAAGTATTTCAAAATGTATTCTCCACCCTTACTAAAAGGAACACAAGAAAAGATTTAAAGTTAGGCACACGTAGAATCATAGAAGTAAAGATTTTGATAAAAATGAAGACTTTCGACCCCATATGTCACGTATTTCAATGGGGACGTACTTTAAATACGTCTTTCCCATTTCGCAAAAAATGAATGAATTAATCACTATCCAAGGTAATGGAGCGCCGAAGGCGCGACCATAGCAAACAATATGCACTATGCAGGTGATACTGCAGCAAGTCCGAGCGTTAAGGGCGAGGCACGTGGAGAACATAATAGGCTTAAGTCCCATTGTCCCATCGCAGAATTCGAAAAAATATGTACGGAGGGTTGCTGAAAAGTTCGCAACTTTACCCAGACGCAAGAGAGCAAAAGCCGCGCCACGAGGGATGTAGGGAGGAGAGGTCATCGCTAGAGAGCACACGCCGTGAGAGTCCGGTACGACCGTTAGTTTGCTTTCTTCGGCAGTTTGAACTCATGATGGAGACGTCAAGACCGGAATTCAGCAACGTCGACAAGCGCGTGGTCAAAAAAGTTCTTGTTCCTGCAAGGGAAACGAGCGCAGGAGATTCACTCTGAGATGCTGGCGACTCTAGAGGAGGACTGCCATTCCCTCACAATGGTGAAGAAATGGGTGGCACGTTTCCGAACCGGCCATTTCGAGGTAACAGATGAGCCACGCTCTGGACGGCCCGTTTCAGCAGCGACAGATGAAAATACGGATGAAATCCATGACCCGATCTTCGAAGACCGCCGCATTTCCGTCAAGAAGATTGTCGAAATCTTGCAGGTTTCCCGGGAAAGGGTTTCCCACGTCATCCGTAACTTCCTCGACATGCGAAAGTTGTCTGCGAAATGGATCCCGAAATTCCTCAATGCAGACCAGAAGCGGAATCGCCTGATCGCCTCCCAAGCCATTTTGGCGCGGTTCCACGCTGGTGCTGAAGACTTTGTGGCCAGGTTGGTGACGATGGATGAAACGTGGCTCCACCATTTTGAACCCCAGACGAAGGAACAATCCAAAGAATGGCGCCATAGCGGGTCATCCCGGCAGAAGAAGTTCCGCGTTCAGAAATCGGCCGGAAAAATCATGGCTTCCGTGTTCTGGGAGAAGGACGGTGTCATCTTGATAAAGTACCTGCCGAAGGGCCAGGGGATCAACGCCACCTACTACATGTCCCTATTAGATGAATTGCGGTTAGCTCTGAAGGAAAAACGGCGCGGGAAGCTGAGTCGGGGGTGCTCTTTCTGCAAGACAACGCGCCTGCTCACACCGCCCACCAAACCACGCAGAAAATCAAGGATTTGGGGTTCAAACTGTTGGACCACCCGGCCTATTCGCCGGACCTTGCCCCCTCGGATTATTATCTCTTCCCAGCGTTGAAGAAACACCTGAAGGGGACGAGATTTGCTTCCGATCAGGAGGTCATTGGTGCCGCAAAGATCTGGTTCGCGGACCAACCTAAGGAGTTCTTTTTGCGGGGTTGCAAAAATTGGAGGAACGTTGTAACAAGTGTGTAGAGTTGAGGGGTGACTATGTTGAACAAAATTGATTCAGTTTACCAAATTTGTGTTTTCTTCTAGGAAAAGTCGCGAACTTTTCAGCTTCCCCTCGTAAATTAAAAATTTAGTTACAACGGAAATCGTGGCGGTACATCTCCGAACAAAACGAATAGACGACTCTCGTGTTATCAGTACCTATTTAACTATGCTGATGATTTTGATCATCGATCAGATTGAAACATTTAATTACGATGAATTGAGAAAAAAAAAAGCGGGCTCTTCCTCGCTGGCGAGAATTTGGTGCGTCCGTTAAACACGCTCGTTCGTTCAAATTTCCTAAGTCAATACGGGGAGGCACTCGGTCCAGCTTCGCGATTCTACTAGAGTGATCTTTGCTATTTCTGTTTGGGCCTGCTCGCCGAGTCTCAGCAGAGTTTGAATTCTTCTGGCTTCATAAGTGATTAATTAATATTATTCATCTTAGTAATTAATAGTAAATAAGTAATTAATATTATCCATCTTCATGATGATAACAGGAGCGGTCTCTTCAAATTACTGACAGAAACAATGCATTCTTTCTGTAGGGGTTGCAAGTCTAAATTATATTTCAGAGTATGTATAAATCGCTCCCGTGTCTTCCTCTGCGACTGACATTTTAAGCATTGCATTATTTAAATGGGAACACGTTTGATAGTCGACTGATTCCATCTTAAAGTTGACAGAAGTAGGCAACAATTTTAACGGACTTTGCTTCTTTACGAAACAAAAAGCATTAACAATAGAAAGAAAACATTCTAAAGGTCAAATCTGACCTTAAATAGCAGGCGCATCTAGGCAGTCATTTTTGCAGAGTTGCCATTATTGTACTTGAAATGTGAGCTTTCTTGTTCCAAAATCCATACTTTTTTGCTTTATTTTCGCACCACTGCATGTCAAAGTCCCTGTGTATGTGTACCATAAATTATGAAACCATACCGTACGGAAAAGTGATTGCATTAGGCCGTGGGATTGAGGAAACTCGTCTCTCCCTCACCAGTTTCGTGGATTTGATCGAAGATCGGACGTGGTTCATAGCAGCATGCTTCCTCCTTCGGATCCTTCAAGGAGTTGGATACGTCCTCTTTGCCACGACTATCTTCGCGCTCGTCGCCCACTTCTTCCCCGAATCCATGGGTACTGTCCTCGTAAGAACAGCATTCCGAATGGTTATTGTTTTCATCTGTGACGAATGCAAAATTATTCAAAATTTCTTTCGCAGGCGATTCTGGAGATGTGCATCGGCATTGGACTGTCTATCGGCCCTCCTATCGGTAGCGTTTTCTTCAAGGTGAGTTTCCTTTACTCCAGCCATAAAATAATATTCCAAGTATCGATTGATGTAATTTGTAATCAGCTGGGAGGATTCAAGTTACCGTTCTTCGTGGTGGGATCGACCCAGATGGTGACGTCTTTACTCGCCTTCCCGGCATTACCTTCTAGTTCACGTGAGTGCTGTCGAATGTATTGTAGTATAGTAAACTCGTGGATCCCTCTTCATCCTCTATGTATGTACAGGGTGTCCCAAAAGTCAAGACACATAGAGACTTTGCCTTTTTAATGCAAAGACTGTAAGGTATACTGTTAAGAACACTTTGCTATATATTACATGTCAAATTTCACATTTTATATATGAATCATTCAATATGAATAGATTTAATATCAAAATGGCGACATTAGTGCATGCAATTGACTAGACTCACGAAAACCCTATGCGTCCTGACTTTTGAGTCATCTCGTACAGTGCGGGACTTCCAGTCGGTCGATCTTCCACGGATGAAGCCGTTGATTCGTCGCGTGAGCCCTTGGGTCGTCTGCGTCGCCATCGCCGTCCTCTCTTCGGCCTTCTCCTTCTTCTATCCCATCTTGCAACCGCACGTGGAGGTCGCTGTGAGTCTTCTCGGCCCTCATCCATTCCTCGACGGCCGAAGGCATTAACGAAAGATGTTAGATGCGAATCGTAGGATCAGATTTTGTCTCGAAACCGTTCTGGGTGTCGTAGTCGAAATAGATTTCGTGCAGTTCGATTACGCCAACCCTTTGTTGCAGCGATGCGAGGGAGTAGATGCCATCTCTGAAACATTTCTGGGGGAAAGGGATTCCGTGGCTAAAATCTCCATGATGTTGACAACGCCATCATTTCTCCAATGCAGTGCTGTTAATAGTATCCATTTCTTTAACAATCCTTCGAGAAGACGTCAAAGGAAGTTGCTCTTAAGAGTAGATGTAATACCCATTTAATGATTAGCCTGCGTGTTTTTCTTTTTAGTGCAACCTCACTGAATTCAGACTCTGGTTTGGTTTTCGTTAACAAAAATGCGGGCAGAAAGTGTGAGAAATCCTAACATTATCATTACGCTATTAACCCAAATTAGTTAGATGAATTAACCCATCCCTATTTGATGGCCGAAATCTCGTTCCATTTCGAAAGCTCGTTCCTCGTGATGCTTCCAGTTCGGTATGACTGAGGGTGTCACGGCGCTCCTCTACTTGATTTTCACGGGTTCTTATGGAGTGACCGGGTTTCTCTCTGGTTATATAACCGACCACTGCCCCAAGTGGAGGAAGGCTCAGGTGGGATTCGCCTTCCTGGCCATCTCCTTCGCCTTTCTCCTTCTAGGACCGGTTTCTTTTCTGCACATTCCGAGGTGAATCCTGGAAGCAAGAGTGTCGATTGCGTTTTGCAAAAATTTGCTTCTAAATTTTCGCATTTATTTTTTTTTACCGAATCAGGTCACCGGGCCTCCTCATCGGGTCCCTGGCTCTGATGGGAGCCAGTTTATCCTTCGCCCTCATTCCCACTCTTGGAATCATCAATGAGGAGGCCAGGTACAAGTCCAAAATTCCCTTGATATTGATACGAGGGTGAATCGGACTCTCATAATTATAGACCGTCTTGAACGCAATGTAAGGATTAAATTTCCTGCCATTTTTCAAAATAGTTTCCAACTGCACTGAGAAACTTTCAATCCATCAGGTTCTTATTCCTGCAGCATGGAAGTCCTTGATCCCCGTGGCCCTTCATTCACCACTTGTTTCATCTCATCATAATCGATGATTCTTTGATCGCGGGGTGCGTCTTTAGGGTGGACGAACAGCTGGTGGCCGTGGGGAACGAGTTCCAAAGGTGCTCCCACATCCACCCTGGATGTGGGAGGGCCTTCGGACGAAAGTCCTGAATTTGTCAGGTAGTTGCCCTAAGAATACGTGGATGAATTAGTTTCCTTTTCGTTGCTGCCTTTAACCGTAGCAACGGTTGAGTGTGAGACCCGCTGATGTGGACGACCGAGCCGGGGCACTTTGCGGCAGCGCGATAACGTCGATCCATGTACTTCAAGGGCGAGTACCCTTTCGGGGCTGGGCATTTAAACAATTTAAAAAATATATACAACTTCCTCTCGGTCCTGACAACAAAAATTTATTGCTAAAAGTCCCCAACCCGTTTCATTACATCTGTACGATCGACCTTGCAAAATAATAAGGAAAATTAATATAGTTTTTGGCACCTGTCATGATGTTTCGTTTGTTTTTCAAGTGTAGTTTGCGCAAATGCCCACACCCGTACAGCGCACGGCCATTGGCCTCAGTGCGTCAAGGACACAAGGACAGAGTCCGGGATCGAAGATTCATGGACAATGAAGTTAAACCGGTCGTGCAAGAGAGGCTACTGAGGGCACCGAAGGACGAAGTTGATGGAGATCGCATCGGAAATTAACTGGAAACATTTCATTCTTACGTCGTTTACGAGCTGGTTGATGACAGAAATATTTTTTCTTTCCGATCCACCCTTATAAATTGCAGTTTTGATTTCCTTCATAGACTTGCGGGATACGATGATAACATCGGGACAGCGAGTCTCATGTCCGGCATCTGGAACTCCATGTTTTCACTCGGGTAAATTTCTCGATTTCACTGGACAGATTTTAGGCATATTAATGACAATATTGCCTACCAGACTCCATTCAGGGAGCCGTATTTAGAAAACCTCATTTTTTCCTCCTCATTTTAGAGACGCGATCGGACCAGCAACATCAGGTGCAATATACGACGCCTCGAACTTCTCGACGGCCGCCCTCGTCTTCGCCGGAATCACCTCGGGAACCGTGAGCATTTCCTTCGCTCTTCATTCGCTCCGAATCGCGAGAATCCGTGACTTAATGGGCGATGCTGTCGTTGGAGACTCTGCTCGTGTTCTTGGACGTTTTCTGGAGACTGAAGAGCGGGGAGAGAAACCCAGAACGACCGGAAGAGGGCAGAGAAGTCGTGGCTCCAAATTCTCCAAACAGAGCTTCCTCGTAAACGGGACTTTCAAATAAATTGTCTGTCGCCGATCTTTGACTCGCAGCTACGGTATAGTTTATTTCGTGTCAGGGATGGTCTTAGTGTGTCTCTCCTCCCGGGTAGCACTGTCTCTGCAGTCGTTTAACCCTTGGACTTGGAGTGATGGGTATTTCATGGCCTGCCGCTTCTTCCGGACTGGGGATTTTAAAAATTACTTTTAAGTATTTGAGAAATATATTACTCCTTAAATATTTGTGGTAATATATGGTATGACTATAACATCTTTAAAATGGAATTTAAAATATTTTCTTACCGCATGATTTGACTGAAAATGAAAGTGTTAAAATATACTTTTGCATGCAGACGAGGTTACACCTCTTCCTGGGTGCATTTTTTCATGCATTGTAGCACTTATAATGTCGAGAGACCCCGAATGAAAAAAAATTTGCATAATTCCTCACAAATAATCCATTAATTTGAACAAGGATTTTGCAATGCCAACAACTGGCACAAAAGCAAATTCATTCGTAATTCCTTCTTTACTCCAAGTGTTTGACCACAAAGACTGAGTAAGACCACTCATTGGTAGTGTTTATATTAGTACTCACCAGACGCGACAGATAGACAGACTGGTGATGCCATCTACCAGGCCTCCCCAGGGGGGGCAATCTGCCCTCGCCTCGCCTATCAAGGGGCTCCCAGGGGGCCTCTAAGAAGCCTCCGGTTTAGTTTTGTCCCGGGCCTTTTGAAACCTTTGGGAGGGCCTGTCATCTACTGGCGCGAATTGGAAGTTATTGTCCCAAGCAGGTTTAAGCGTCGACGGGAAAAACTGAGCCTTCGCTTCATCACATTTGCATCGGACTCCAAGGAAGACAGGCTCAACACGTTTTAACGTTCCTCGCATAGCAAGTGTGGAAGGTCAAGAACCGGCTTTACTTCCATTTATGGCTGTGGTTTTCGACCGGTGTGTTGCGATGTTTTTATAGGAGAGGATCGAAGAAGCTCGAAGCGAAGGAGTAAAGATGAAAGGAAGATAAATGGCGTTAAATCAGAAATGCCAGACGGAAATGAAGCGTCCAAGTTACAATTTTTGAAGGGGGTCACCCCGGGAGTCCAAGTCAAGACAGAAATTGCAAGAAGGATGACAACTTCTCAGTAAACATTTTATTTTTAAATCGCAAAACCATCTCGCCTCACGAAATTGAAGGCCAGAATCGCAAACGTTCTCATTTCCTGTCAACTCGAGGCGAACGAATCTGAACGCCTGGGATTTCGATTCTCAACGCAGAACCGTGCACTTCCCGTTCCTCGTCGTGCAGTCTTGACGTTCGCGCTTCAGATTCAGCTAAAATCGATTCATGGAGTCAGCATAGCAGGGATAAAACGTTTTCCCTAATTAATTCTTCCTTGAGATTTAAAATGAAAAAATTTAACTTTTTTTTCACTGCTTTCCTATTCTTACTGCTGTTCTTTATCTCCAGCCTTCGGGTTTTCATCAGTTCCATTTGTTTCTCGGTGGTGATAAGGTCAACGCTGAATTTTTTAGGCAGAAGTTTTTATAAGTTTCTTAATAAATAAAAAAAACTTCTGCGTAAAAATGATTAATTCATTCGATGCGCTTTCGACGCTCGCACCATCTAATGCAATAAAATCCGTTTTTGCAAAGTCATTCCCAGCTTGGGATTAGCAAGATTAATCAAAGGGAGAGTTACACAACTGGATACAAATGTAAGGACAGTTTTGTTCGAGAGAAAAATTTAGGGGCTACTCGTTCCCTCCCCTCAAAGCAAGACCCCGAGTGCATCATAAGATGATCATTTATGAAATAAACATTCCATGAGCTACATTTTTAAAACTCATTGCAGCTTTTCTCACCTACCGTTTAACAGCAGTGAAAAAACATCAGAAAAGCACATCCGGAAAAAATGTGCCCTCAGGAGATTTATGAATGAAATAGAATTTTTCCCGAAATGAATAGCCCAAGCTTTCATAGTCGCCAGATTAGCAGGAAGGAAGAAATTTGCCTTTTTCTTCTGAGATGGCGAAGGAGGAAACCAAACAAAAATCCGGTGAGTCACTTCATCCTCTTGGGAAAATGAAATCAATATCCAAAATCCCTTAATTTCACGACTGCAGACGGCGGGGGGCCGGAGAAGGAAGAGACGGGGACGGGATGCCTGCAATTATGCATAAATATCTCGTGGAGGGAACGAGGCCTCGTCCTCTATTTTGGTCTCGTGAATTTTTTCGGATACGCTTGCTTCTCGATCATGGCTCCCTTCTTCCCCGCCGTAGTAAGTATATACAATGTCCAACGCCTTCCGTATCGTATGAAAGTGTGATTGAATAGACGCAATGGACGAAGTCGCTCATTTCTATAGGCGAGGCGAAAAGGTGTCAGCGATACAGTGACGGGTCAAATCTTTGGAATCTGTGCACTGGTCGCCTTCGCTTTTGGACCTTTTCTCGGAAAATTTGTACGTTCCCCCAGATAATTTTGGCGAAGCACGAACCAGTCGAAGCAGAGTCGTACATTTCACGAGAATTTGTTTCAGCTCCCTCGAATCGGCCTGAGGAGGGCGATCGTGGCTGGGACTTCCCTCTTGGGGGTCATGATTTTATGTTGTCCGCTACGATGTCCAAATAAGTTACTTTTTCAGTAGATTTAGGTATTCAGGAAATTCAGGTAATTCTAATTGCGAATTTACATTCAGATATTTATATATTTATCTACTGAAGCTGCCAAAATATTAGATAATTCATATACTGCTAGAACAAATGCCTCGCCTGTAAAAAGTAAAAAGTAAGAGGAAAAAATAGGTGCTTATCGAAATGGGTCGAAGTGTGCGTAGACGCAGGCAGTGTCGTAACTTTTTGACTTCCGCTCATTTTAGAATGATTTTTCCTTTACTTAAAGGAGCTCGACCTGGAAGTGGAGCGGAGACTTTACACTTTGCAGAAATTTAACAAATTTGCAGATTTGTTAGATGCGGCTCACTCAAGGTGGACCAAGGCATCCGTGTAGCCCACACCTCAAAAAGTTTGGGGACGACTGATCTGTAACTTTCTTGCGCTTCATTTCCATGCCTTTTGGCTTCGTTTCACCCTAGCTCAGAAAAGCTGACTAGAGGCGCCAGATTGTTGACTGGCGTCAATTTGTGGACGATTTCGCTCATTCAGAAGTAGGCGCCCGTCAACAAACTGGCGCTTCTAACTTATCTTTGATCAGACTGGGCTGAAAGCCTCAAATAATGGGAGTCCTCGCCTTTGATCATCTCGCATTATAGGTATACTCCTTGCCCCGCATTCACCCGTGCCTCCATTCTTCCTTCTATTCTTCATGCAGTCAAGTGAAGCAAAATGTGCAGTCTGTGTAAGCAATCATGCCAAAGACGCTTCATACAGTATAGTGAAAGGCAAAGTATGGATTTCGAGAAGGAGCCGTGAAGATGAGGAGATTGAAAAACACATTTTAAGAACATTCTTCGTTATCATTGTAATTGTCTATTTGGCAATAATGGTGGAATGAAGCAAAATTATTCATCTTTTGAAAAATTTGGTCCTGAAGCAAAATACTGGGTGGTGCATAAATACCTCCGAGGTTGTAAGATTCAATAAAAGACTCATGACAAACGACTTCATACTGATATCTGTTCCTATGGCATCCTGGCATGTGGAAATTCTAAGACAATCACTTAGGTAGGTCACTTGTGGAAAATGACGTCACTAAGGTCGCCGCCATCACGCTCGACCCATTCTCACGCACGCTGCAATATCGCAACGGGAGGGAGATGATTCGAAGAGAAAACACAAGGGAGACCATGGAGATCGACGAATGTGGGTTCCAACCTCCACATTGGAAGACGATTTGGAAGAAATGTGATCGGGGAGAGAGCAAAGGAAGAAATACCAAATTCTCGAGGATGGAATCTGTCATTGATTCTTGCAATCGGTTTCGAAAGAGTCTTGCAGTATCGTCTGATATGGGGTTCATGCACTATTCAAGTCTTCCTTAATATCTTGGATCACCACACGAATGTCTAGCAAGGACCTCCGTCCTTGTTGGGGACAATGTTGCATTCCACCGCAAAGAAGAACTGTAGCAACTCATTGGTTTCAAAGGGCACGAGATCTTCCTATTGCCAGCTCGCAGCCCTTTCTTGAGTCCCGCAAAAGTCTTCAGCCTCATCAAAGTGCACGTTAGACGTGGAACCCCTAAAAAAAGACTTCACTGCTAGAAATAACGAAGCAGAACATTCGAGAGGCTACAGCCGCGAAGTGTCAAAGATATACGCGTCATTCCGAGAATTCTATTATGCCGTCTGGGATTACAGACCAAGCCATAATACTCCCGATGGCAAAGACCGCAATGGTGACCATAGTCCTCAGGAGATTCATTTTCATTCTTGAACTTTGGCTTGTGTGGTATTTTTCGTGTTCTTTCTTCATTGGGACTCCCTACTCTTTCCTCAATAATTACCGTCATTAGATACAATTCCACCAATAAAAATTCCTAAGTATGGAACTCATTTTGTATTTACATTGATTACTTGAGTGTAATCCGTGAATCTGGGCGCTCGACATCCATCCATTCTAAAGCCACGCATTTCTCTCTCCAAGGGTTGTCAGGTGAAAGTGTCACTCGGAGCGGCACTTGCTCGCTGGGTGGGAGGAGGGAGCGAAGCATTGCGCAACGCGTACGCGTAATTTTCAAAGGAGTGCGAAGCAATGTGCCTCTAGTGCGTTGCAATATGCGGCAGGTATGAAAGTCAATGGGAAACACTGTACTATATAATGTGAAGAAGGAAGAATGAAATGTGAATTAGAAAAGGGGTGAAAGGTTGAACTGTCCACCGGCTGTTACCGTTGGTGGAGCACGGTCCAGGTAGATGAGAAATCAGCTGAAGAACAAAGTAATTAGAGAGCATTAAAACATATAATTGGATGAATTCACCATATACCAGATGAGTTTTATTTAATTATGCAAGCAAACTATGCAATAATAGTGGTTACATTGGACAATGGGTTTGGGAAACGCATCTCTTCGTCACCGGTTTCGTGGATTTGATCGAAGATCGGATGTGGTTCATAGCAGCATGCTTCCTTCTTCGGATCCTTCAAGGGGTTGGATACGTCCTCTTTGCCACGACCATCTTCACCCTCGTCGTCCACTTCTTCCCTAAATCCATGGGTACTGTTCTCGTAAGAATAACATTCCAAGAGATCGTTGAAAATCCTTTTTTCCAAATAACAAGTCCTGGAAAATCGTAATACTGGTTTCCAGGCGGTCCTGGAGATGTTTATTGGGATCGGTTTATCAATCGGCCCTCCAATCGGTAGCGTTTTCTTCAACGTGAGTTTCCTAAACCTCTCCAACCAAAAAAAGAAAAAAATATATATATACAGGGTTATTATAGTTATCTCCCTAATTTGATTGGCCAAAACTTTTCAAAGGATAGTCGGATGCAGCAGATAAAATATCTGCTGCAGAGTGACTCATGGGCCTATGTGGTTGTTTTTCCTGCTTAAAAAGTGCCATAGCACTTAGTTCACCGCAGCGCCTTCTATCAGCATGCAGCACCATCTTGCAGCATGTGAAAAAACCTGAGTCTTACTCATGAACCTCTGTCAAGTATCAGCTGCATGTGACTATCCTCTGAAAAGTTATGGCGAATCAAAATAGGATGGTGACTTCATAATAACATTGTATATCGTTGAGAACCTAGTAATGCTTTTCATCTGTAACCAGCTGGGAGGATTCAAGTTACCGTTCATCGTGTTGGGAACGACTCAGATGATAGCTTCACTGCTCGCTTTCCCGGCTCTCCCCTCCAGTTCACGTAAGTTCAGTTGGTAGATATAAATTCAGTGAAATCTCTCTTTTATTTAGTATAGCTCTTTTCGTGCAGTGAGAGACTTCCAGTCTGTGGATCTTCCACGGATGAAGCCATTCCTTTTTCACTTGAGCTCGTGGGTCGTCTGCCTCGCCGTTGTCGTCGTCTCTTCGGCCTGCGCCTTCTTCTATCCCGTCTTGCAACCGCACGTGGAGGCCGCTGTAAGTCTCGCGACCTTCATCGATCGCTCTCGTCAATCATCTGGAGTAATGAATAGAGATGCGAGGAAACTGCAAGATTATCAATCGAGTTTCGTCTAAGAATGAAATCAAAATTGACCTTATGGAGTTCAGATAGTTTAACATCGACTGATTTTGACTGATTCCATTCAGGCTTGTATCGTCCCACGCCTCAGACCATAATAACCACAGATATTGATGGATCTCCACGACAATATCAAGGCCTTCATAATTATTTCCTATAATTCTATTGAAAAATAATCTACACTTCAATGCCTTAACCCCTCCAGAGAGAATTACCCACTCGCACCCCAAATGTCCCATCTGCAGGCAACAGATTTCTCCACCGAGGTACTTGCTGCAAGTTTGATTGCTCCTTGTTTTGAAACTGAATTGTGGAACCATGTTATGCTGAGTCTTATAATTAGGGAACGGATTTTTTTTTTCATGTCTTAAGACATGCACATACATATGCAACTAAAAATGCCAAAATATGCATGAAATATGCACGAAAATGGGGAAATATGCGAAAATATGCTTCTTAAAATGCAGAACGAATTATTCGGAAGAGGGAATTATAACGTACATTTTCTATCGCCAGACTTCTCCTTCACCCACAGAGTGGAGTAAGAAGCTCGGAGATTAAATCAGGTGCTCACTGGGTTGAGTTGGTCTATTCTTGTCTCTGCCAGATGCGTAACGAGGAGTTCGCCAATTGGGAAGCAAAGGGAAACGGCCGGGCAACTAGAATTTCCCTAAATTCGTCTTGGGTGAGGGGGGAGGGGGGCTTTCGAACCGAACTTAGGAGGGCTTCATCCCTCCCCCACCTCCCCCAACTCCCAGTCCTCCCATTGCTACGCCACTGGTCACAGCACACGAGTGCTGGAAAATCTGCAAAATGTCCATAAAGAACATTTTCCTGGAAAACTTCCATATAAAATGTGCCGAATATCCACAAATGTGCGCATACCTATCCAAAAGTTCCCGAAATGGCCCTCCTGTGAGTGAACGGCCCCGGCATAACTAGGGCGAGTGTGTATATTGTATTGTCCAGTCCTTGCGGAGGATGCCTCACGAGCATAACGAGATATGGCGTCTGTGTCGCGAACCTGGACCGCATCATCACAGGGTACAAGAAATGGGTGTATCGGTTCGATCCACAGACGAAGGCCCAAAGTTCTGTGTGGAAGACACTTTCATCACCAGAGTCGAAGAAATGCCGCACTCATAAATTTCGTGGGAAGTCAATGCTCTTTGTTTCCTTTGATGCCCCGAGCATTGTGCACCATGAGTTTGTTTCCGAAGGACAAACCGTCAATACCGCATTTTACGAGCATGTCCTGACACGTGTCATCAATGCTGTGCGACGCAAACGCTATGACTGTTCACACAAAATTGGTTGTTGCAACACGACAATGCACCATGCCGCACACCAACATTGCTCACATACCACATCTACTATTAAACAGGATTTTGGTTATGGATGAGTTGAACCTTGAACCAGATGAGTCCTTTGTGACATCTGCAAAACCTAATTTCGCTCACCATTAAACACGCAGCTTAAAAAATTGAACACGGATTCTGTCCCATCCGCACCCAATCCACACAAGTAGTGCAGCAAGATTAAGTACAGGTCGGTAATGGAGGGTTCACATAGTTTCTCTTTTGTGCTGGGCATAGCTGTCCGAATTAAACTTGGTAAACATTGCTTTGATTTTGATACATTGACTGTCAAGTCAACCTAGTGTGACTCGTAGAACCATGAAGTGTCACAAAGCCTGGCGGTCAATGTGTTAAAATCAGCTGTATTGGACTTTTAGCAATGACATACTTAGAGCGATAAATAAGAAATAATTATTAATACCTGTGAAGGACGTTGTTGGAAAAATATTGCTGAACATTTAAACCATGTCTATAAAGTAGAAATGAAGTAAAAGTAGAAATTAAGAAAAAATGTATGCATTCATGAACTAAGAATACTTTTTAGCAAATATTACTTCTAAAATCTCAAAATTAAGTCCATTTTCAAGGCAATTACTCCACATAGATACGATATGAAAGGTGCTGTTAAATCCGCGTATTTGCCTTCCGACATGATAATGGGACCTCTCCGAAGGGAAAGAGAAATTGCAGAATCACTTCATACCCGATATCTTGCCGGATTGTGATTTTTCTAGTTCGGAATGACCGAAGGTACCACGCCCCTCATGTACCTGGTTCTCGCGGGTACTTATTGTGTGACCGGGTTTCTCTCCGGTTATATATCCGATTACTACCCCCAATGGAGGAAGGCTCAGCTGGGAATCGCCTTCCTGGCTATCGCCTTCTCTTTTCTCCTTCTAGGGCCTGCCTCTTTTCTTCACATTCCAAGGTGATTCCAGTATGCAATAATTGCATTCATTATAATCTTTCATCCGTCTGATTCCAACTAATCTAGATATTTGTGGTGCATCAGGTCACTGGGACTTCTCATCGGGTCCCTCGTCCTGACTGGAGCCAGTTTCTCTTTCTCCCTCATTCCCACATATGCAATCATCAATGAGGAGGCCAGGTACGTGTCCAGAATTCCTTCCAAATTTAAACTGTGACGTCGTAACCACGGATTCCTTCTTGGTACGAATCCAGGCTCGCAGGATACGATGATAACATCGGGACGGCGAGTCTCATGTCCGGCATGTGGAACTCCATGTTTTCACTCGGGTAAGTCCTTCGAGTCCTCTAACGACTTTATCATGTATCGCCTTTCATATACCGTTATACAGGGTGATTCTTTCGTTTTAGTACCCTGCCTGAGTTATTCACGTTTTTTAGGGTACTAACACGAAAGAATCACCCTGTATTTCGAGGATTTTTTCTCCCCTTTATGCGGGGAAGCTGTTGGTCCAGCAGTATCGGGTGCCCTGTACGATGTCTCCGACTTCTCCACGGCTGCCATCGTCTTCGCTGGGATCTGCTTCGGGACTGTGAGCATTTACCCTTCGTTTACTTCGAATTACAGGGCATGGATGTTATAGATTTAATCCTAGCTAATTCATTTTTGTCGTTGAAGGCTCTGATTGTGTTCCTTGACTTGTATTGGATGCTGTTGAGAGGGAAGAGGCGCTCGGAAGAACTGTAAAAGTGTGAGGAGGTCACGGCCTATCATATATCATCTGGCACTACTTCATAGTGGATAAAGTTCAGAGTAAAGTTGTATTATTTATTTTTTTTTGCTGTGTATGAATGTCATTAAATCGAAAAACAAGCAAGTCTTATGCCTTGTTTCCTAGTAATGTTCCGAGCATCAAGATATGCAAATTCCATTTGAAGCATGGCAAAGAGGAAAGGGGCTCCCCAGCAATCAATGCAGGATGATGTAAGCATTTAAAGAAATCTGAGGAAGTGAAAAGATGAACAAGCTGGGCCTTGTCCAGAGAATCACCTTAGGTTCGTCCACACCAGGAAAGTTTTCTTGCATAGACGATGAAAGAATATTGCAAAAGAAAACTTTGAAAGCAAACGTTCAGAGATAGCCCACATCAGTAACTTTAATAGTGTGGATGCCTTTGAAAGTTCTTTCTGCAAGGATTTTTCTTCGTCAGAGCATTCTCCATACCAATGTCTATGAAAGCGAAGTATTCAAGATTGAACACCACGAGGAAATCAAAGTGGGGCAGCGAAAATCGTAACGATTCATCTTTTTTAAAGAGAGAAAACGGAGGCACGCCGCTCGATTTGGGCAGCGGCGAAATGATCATGGTGCTTATTTGTCTCTCATAAGATAGCTTCGGATTGAAGACCCCCTTGGGTTCAAGAATTTTGTACGAATGAGTGGACAGGATTTTGAGGAACTCCTGAGACGAATTAGACCGCTTATTTCGCGAAAGGACACTCACTATCGTGAGTCCTTTTCGGCTGGGGAGAGAGGCAGGTAGTTATTCTGAGATTTTTGTCGAGTGGAGACAGCTTCACCAGCCTCTACCACGTATCTCTATCGCTTGTCGAAACAATCCATGGGCGTGTCTTTTTTCTCAGCGGCTCTGCTAGCTCTGCTGAGGCCTCCAGCATCTCATGACGTCATGGGCGTGTCTTTTTCTCCAGCCGCTAGCAGCTGCTAGCAGCTGCTAGCGAAAAAGACGCGTTGGCTAGGCACGACCACGTCATTGAATGACGTAGCTTCCTACTGCTTGCCAAGGTGTGACGTCATTACTGACGTAGTTGTGCTAAGCGAAAACCGCTTGAGGTGTCTTTTTCCGCAGCAGCTGCTAGCTGCTGCAAGCAGCTGGAGAAAAAGACGCGCCCATGATGTCATGGGGTGCTGGAGGCCTCAGCAGAGCTAGCAGAGCCGCTGAGAAAAAAGACACGCCCCATGTTAGGGCTGAGCTGCTCAGCGCTCCCATAGTTCGCTATGTACCGCTGCCAGCTAATTGCCCAAGTGTGACGTCATTCAATGACGTGGTCGTGCCTAGCCAACGCGTCTTTTTCGCTAGCAGCTGCTAGCGGCTGGAGAAAAAGACACGCCCAAAGACACGCCCAAAAAAAATATCTTCCTTCATTCCAGAAGTTTGTGATGCTTTGTACAGGGTGTTCACTTTACAAGTTAACCCAAAGAAATGCAAATTAAAAAAAGAACAATAACTCAGAGATACATGAAACTTGGCGATACGAGAACCAGGAAGTTGTAAAGTGCAAAATGACAGTCACAGTCCCAACACGTCACAACCAAGTCGGAAGTGGGAACACATGTCACAAGTTGGAAGTGGCCACTGCCATGTGCAATGCACAAGCGTGTACGGCGAAACATGTTGCTGGACGCAGACTGTAACACCGCTGGCTGGGTGAACTGATGGCGCTCGAAGGAGTACAGAGGAGGGCCACAAGAATGATTAAGGAGGTTAGGAGACTTCCGTAAGAGAAGCGTTTAGAAGTGCTGGGACTGTACGAGAGAGAGAGAGAGAGAGAGAAGGTTAAGGAGGGGCGATCTCATCCAGACATTCAAGATAATTAAAGAAATAGACAGTGTAGAGCGTGGTAGGTTCTTCCAGTTCGATGGCAAGAAGAACGAGAGGTAATCAACTCGAGTTGCGTAAATCGCAGGTGCGGCTCAGGTCGAGACAGGATTTCTTTACCTGTAGAGAGGCGAACGCGTGGAATGCGTTCGACGACGACGTAGTGGCTGCCCCCCACCGTGACTATTATTAATAAACGCTCGACCTCGACACGTGGTATCCAAATGGGTGTTATCGCCTCTTGATACCACTAAACTACCTTGATACCAGCCCTTGTAATGCCCTCGTGACAAGGAGAGTGCGACTATCTTTTCCTGCGACGCAATAGTGCAACGAACCAAAAGTCCATGCGACTTTTTTTTCTGCGACGAACTGTCCGCGAAGGAAGCGTTGGTCACGGGAAGGAGGAGTGGATACTCGTAAGTGAAACCCCATCGGGGAAAGAAAGATGTCCCACGGCTACAACTGCTGCATTGTTTGAGCATTTTCCGATTTGGTGTAGTTGCTAGGCGCAGTCCCATGAGAATACATCATGAGATACAAAGATACTAATGAAACAGTTTCTCCTGGGTTAAGAACCTTTGCATTAGGTAACCGAAATTTATCTGGGTAAACGCGAAAAAAGCCAATTCCGGAGTCACAGCCATGAGGAATGTGCGACTTTGGAATAGACTCCAACTTTCGAGAAGCATGGGAGAAAGCTCCATAAATTACGCACTCTAATGGTGATTCTTCGTCCCCCTCCACAAACCAGTATAGAAACAATGATATGAGGAAAAAAAATACCTGTCCCGTGTCCCTCTAGATACAGAGAGAATCATCAAGTCCATGCCGCTAAAGTTTTGCAAACAATCTTCGAAGATAGTACAACCTTTCAAATCTCTAATGATCCCGATGAAGTATGGAGAAGCTAAGAAAACCTCATTGAACATTTCCTTTGAAATTTCAAATTAGATTTCCCATATACAAAACTTGAAGATGCAGATGAAAAGGGGACCAGACTCAAAGAGTGCATCTAGTACGTTTCTCCTGGGATTGGGACCGGAAAACAAGGGGGGGGGGGCGAGATATGAGAAGTGCAAGGTATCAATAGAATGGGAGGAGGGAAGTAAATCCATGTCTCAGACACATGTTCACACCGGAATAGGGGGAACGGGAATGCTTGTGTCATGCACGTCTTGGCATGTGAGAGGGTGGAAGGGGAAATGAAGAGGTAGACTTAGATGAAAACGCACAAGAGTTTCGTTGACCTTGTCGTCCGCTGGCCATTTTAAGCACAATAACAGGAATATATCGCACTACTCGGTAACCGGTTCACCTAGAAAGGCAATTCATTATAGGTGTCATCTGAATCGTGGGTCATTCCACAACATAGTCTCAGAGGAAAGTAGGCATGCAAGAGAAATGCGGACGATTGCTACATGATTCCTCGACAAGGCCTCAGCAAATCGTTCTAGGTCCGAGGATAGTCAACACATTCGCGCATGATTCGGAAGAGCCATTTTTCACAGTCGTATCGAAAGATCTACGTAAAAAAACCTATATCCTCATTCTCAAGATACTGGTTTCAAATTTCAAAATAACTAAAAATGAAAATATATTCGCCTGATTTTGAAATGCCACCCAAGAATTATCTTTTCATCTCCCTGCTTTCAAATTATGCAAGGAGATAAAAAGACAACGTCCACGCTATTCATTAGTGTCTTTCCCTATAAATAAAAAAATTTGACAAATTTTAAGGATAGGTGAGGAGCAGCGAGACGAAAGTTATGCAAAATGCATTCCACTCTCCGAATCCGTCAGACCAACGTCATATTTAGAAACTCAGAGGAAGAAAATGAGACCAATATCAACCTATTTTAAAGAGAGATGTGGATGTGAGCCTTTGGAGTGACCCACCAGACCATGTGTATTACTTCTATATGTGACAGTGTACTAGTAGACTAATGCCCATTCTCTCAAGTTCCGTATTAGATGCGAAAGAAGAGAGCAGGGAGTCATCTTGGTACTCTTGGGTTGCCTCCTCTGAGTTCGTTAGAACTCCGAGTTTTAGAGGTGAAACGAATATGCATGTGGGCGTTAAGTCCCTTCTCAAATGATGGTGTATCACAAATGAACTAACTGGTGATATGCTGGCCCTCTATAGGTCAGGAAGGCAGCGGGCCAGTGCCGGTAAGTGGGACATATGCCTGGTAGCCTACAACCTAGCAAAGGTGGTGGGCTTCAGCTTTCTACCCCAAACGTAGGTGGTGGATGATCAGCTTTCTACCCCAAACGTAGGTGGTGGTCCACCAGGGCTGGTTTTAGGGGCAGGCGACCCAGACGACCGCCTGGGGCGCCGGGGTTGGAGACGCCGGGTTCGGGGTGCGTCTGATGGATAAATCATGTGCATGCAAATCGTGCATTAAAGTTGTGAAATGGGCTACAAATGCAATAAAAAATAACACATTCAAAAGTTGAACAAATGGAGGGGGGCGTCGAAGACACTCCTCGTCTGGGATGCCATTTGGTCTAGGACCTTTGTACTACTTGGGCTCCAACCAGAGACAACGCCATGAGCCGTGGGAAAGACTAGTAATGGTGATTAGTAAATACTGTCGTCTACATTAAGCCTCAGATTGAGTTATTGTATGCCGTGTGCAAACTCTAAAGCCAAAAATTTAAGTCTGTGAGCAAATTTCCTGGCATGCATTTTCACTTATTAATATGCCTTCATCTTAAGTTAGAACTCCATTACTGATCATTTTATGCAGGTGAAAACATGGGAATAACTTGAGATACTTTTAAGAAACTGAAAAGCAGGGGATCAATCAAGTATAGAAACTTCTAGTCCAGATCATCACGAGGAGCGGACGCTCAAACGCTTCGCACATCATCACTCACCCAAGTGTACTCTACAGCCGGGTACAGCTCGCCCGTGTGGCTCTCAAGCCCACATGGAAATATGGTTGACCTACAGCTGAAATCCACTATGCGGATCATCACTGGCGCGTTCAAATCGACGCCGCTGTCTTGGCTGCCCATTCTCTGTTACATTGCGCCTTCCTTTCTTCGCCGCGAATCCGCGACAGCAAGCACCCGCTACTACAGCCCGCCCTTACAAAATGTTCACCTCTCATGTGGATTTAGAACCAGGTGGATGTCCCCGAGGCGTATTTCCGCCTGTTGAAGCGATGTCCACCTGGGGGAAAGTCCACCCGGTAGGAAATATCCACTTGGCTGCAAATACCTGTACATGTACGCGAATTGCTAGTTGGATTTCCACCGGGTGGGACATTCCACCCGGTTCCAAATCCAGCCCCCCCCCCCCCTATACACCTGGTTGTTCAACCAGGTGGCTGCAAGTGGACGTTTTGTAAGTGGTTCATCCACGCCGACCTCAACGACCCACCACCAATCCGTCTTAAATCCAGGAATCCATTCTGGACCACTGCAAACGCACTCAGTCGCACTCCGTCCACCGGCGGAAGAGCAATGGAGAAACGCCTGGAACAATGCCAACGTTCCAAACAAAAATCTCATTCCGGACCCATTTCACAACCACCAGGAGCACTATCGCCACGCATGCAATGAACGACCAACGACAGCATGCAAATCGGACACGGGAGATGAGGATATCTCTTCCATCAATGGAAAATGAAAGATTCTCCTTCATGCAACTGCAGAGCTCCTCAGAAAAC